TACAAGCTTCATGCATAGTTTGCATGGAACTTAATGTTGCGACGTAACATACTGCCCGCCACAGCTGCGAGACTATTTTGAATGACAATAGTAGAGCAGTGATAGACTTATCAAATACTAAACAAAAGCTAAATCTAGCCATAAACTTGGCAATCTTTGGATCTAGACGATAGATCAAAAGGAGGTTAGTTTCCATTTTAGGTACTACCTTATTGATTAGAAGTGTTATCACAGTTTGATTGATTAATCTAAAATCATAATGGTAACGCAACAAGTTAACCTATTGAACAATAACTTAAGAGAATGAGGTCATCAGACCCGCTAAACGCATTTCTAAATACAGGGTCAGAGTCTTATGTTAACAGGGACCCGGTTTACCGGACCAGGTATCGCGTCACAAGAGCCACCCTCTCGGCACGACTCCTGAGCTTCTGATTGTAGAACTTCCGGATTCTACCATTCGCGGGTCAGGCTTAATGATTGCTCTTCCAGAATACCAGATGGTTCAACTCTTTTAGGGCAAACCACCGAGCACACATCTGAGGCAGATTACGATGGAGAGGATTGTTGAGACTCTGACGAGACCGCAGATTCCTGAGCCACCGGTAATATACATAGTCGAGTGATGTTTCGCTTGAAAAATCCTGATGCTGTATTGATCGTTGCGACCCGGGCAATGCCATCGCTCCCAGGGTGGACGTCGACGACCACGCCAAGCGGCCATCTTGCGCAAGCTGGATTATCTTCCATGGACACGACGACGCTACCCACTGTTAGCGTGGCGGTAGAATTCAACCATTTTTGACGGACTTGGAGCTCGTGCAGGTATTCCTTGTGCCATCTTTTCCAAAAGTCTTGTCTGGCCTTGGAAATACGTTGATAAAGCGGTAGACGATTATCCGAAACTGAAACAAAATCAGGTTCGGGTAAGAGATTGAACGGACGCCCGATTAGTAGGTGTTACGGCTAACGCATCGTTCGGGTTGGCCGAATTAGCGTACAATGGTCTAGAGTTCAACACGGCCGCGATCTCCTTTAAAAAAGTATCGAGTTGTTCGTACGTGAGGGTTAGATTTTTCATCACGCGATTAAGATGGTGTTTTAAGCTTTTAACTGCCGCCTCCCATAATCCACCGAAGTGTGAAGAAAGAGGTGGATTGAAATGCCATTCAATGCGTTCGGATGCAGCGTAATTCTGAATAGCGTCCTTAAATGCTGTTGTCTCATGCAAATCGTAGATCCTTTGGAGTTCCTTGTTAGCTCCTACGAAGTTCGTACCGTTGTCAGATCTCATTACCTGTGGTTTGCCGCGAACGCTGATAAATCGTCGGAAACACGCTAGGAAACACTGAGTAGAGAGATCGGAAGCAACTTCTATGTGCACCGCTTTAGAGGCCATACACACAAAAACACAACCATACGCTTTAAGAAAACTACGATTCCGATCTTTCTTCTCTTTGATTAGTATTGGACCAAAGAAATCTACACCTGTTTCGGCGAATACGGTACCTGCAGTGACTCTAGATGTTGGTAGGTCGGCCATTTTGGCATGAGGAAACTTCAGTTTTTGACGAATGCATGGAACGCATTGGTGCAAGATGTGCCTAACCTGATTTTTGCTATTCAAGATCCAGAATCGCTCGCGAACAGCATAGAGAGTGGATTGAATTCCACCATGGAGATTTCGATGGTGAGCATCGCGAATAATGAGATCCGAAACGTGATGAGACGGTGGAAGTAGTATAGGATGTTTTTGATTGAAAGGAATATTCGAATTTTTCAAACGTCCGCCTACCCTGATTAAACCGTCACTGTCGAGAAAGGGATTGATCTCATCAAATTTAGTTCGATTTTTAAATGCTCCTGGAAATTTTCCATAAGGTCGTGTCTTATCAGATTGGAGAAGTTTAATCTCTGTAGCAAAGTTTTCTCGCTGAATCAAAAGAAGAATTCTACATTCAGCTTGCGCTATTTCTTCTGGAGAAAGATATCGGATCCCTTTCGATGACCTGCTAGGTTTAGAAATATCCCCAGTTGGCGATTTCCCCTTTCTCCAACGAAGAATATAAGCTTTTGCACGAACTAAGCAGCCGTAATCGGAAAATCTGGAATATATATCACTTCCGGTGAGAGTGGTAACTAGAACAATTCCTTCCTTAAAACCTGGAGGATTAGTTGGGAGAGATGTGGTAGGTGTACAAGGCCATTTATCGTCGGACAAGGCTAACCATTGAGGTCCTGACGCCCAAAGACAATTCTTCAGAAGATCATGAGGTAACTGCCCTCGAGACAGCGAATCGGCTGGATTATCTCCGGATCGAACATGTCTCCACTCGACCTCCTCATCTACTTCTTGGATGTCTTTGACCCGATTAGCTTCATAAGTTTTCAACAAGTGAGGAGCCTTTTTCAACCAACATAGAACGATCATGGAGTCTGACCAGAAAATCACTCGCTCAACAGGAAATTCCCACTGGTCTCTAGATTCAACGTAGATTCTCTTCAGGAGTGCAGCACCAGCCAACTCTAGTCGAGGAATCGTATTGTGACTTAACGATGCTACCTTGGACTTGCTGCAAATTAACCTTATAGTTACGTGTCCGAACGAATCGATGGAACGGACACAGAGACATGCGCCATACCCCTGCATAGATGCATCACAAAAACCGTGAATTTCGATAGAAATTGGATTGTTACAACTCAAATACCTCTGCATCGTGAATTCCTTTAATGATGGAAGTTCTTCAGCTAACAAGATCCATTTCGTGTGGATGTTCTGAGGCAGCGACTCATCCCACGTGATGTTTGCCCTCCAGCACTCCTGTACCAGAGTTTTTGCATACAACGTTAAAGGACCTAGCAATCCTAGAGGGTCGAAAATCTTTGCGATTCGAGATAAGAGCTTTCTCTTGGTAGCAGTAGATACTGGATCTTCAGGATCGACAGAATACGAGAAAATATCACGCTGAGAATCCCAAACCACTCCGGGAGTCTTCTTGATAGGGCTGCTCTGGATCCCGCAATCTAAGTCAAAGATTTTCTTAGCGATATTTTCCAAAGCGGATGGGTGGTTAGAAGACCATTTACGGATTACGAAACCTCCGCGACTTAGAAGCTGGATCATCTCGTCTCGAATCTCCAGGATGTCCTCCAGAGTGTCTGCACCTGAAAGAAAGTCGTCTACGTAAAAATCTCGACTAAGCAGCATGGCAGCCCTGGGAAAGTTCGCCTCCTCGTCCATTGCCAGCTGATGTAAGGTTCGAATTGCTAAAAAAAGGAGCGCACCTGACACCGAACGTCACCGTGTTCAGAGTGAATGCCCTGATTTGGCCTTCGTGATATCAAAAGATTTTCTGAAATTTCCTATCATCCGGATGAACCCAAATTTGCCTATACATCTTTTCTATATCGGCTGTAATAACAAAACGATGTGTACGGAAACGCAAAATCTGCTTCAGAAGTGTTTCCTGTATAGTAGTTCCGGTAAACAAGATATCATTCAATGAAATCCCAGTCGTGGTTTTTACGGACGCGTCTTTAACTGACCTATACTTGGTGGTTTCGCTTGATTCCTTAATGATTGGATGATGGGGCACATAATAACCATCATCATCGTCGTTCTCACACAGCGTCATATGACCGAATCTCAAGTAATCATTCATGTCTTTCTCATATTGAACCTTAAGAGTAGGATTTGCTTCGAACCGCCTATGCAATGAACGGAATCGTTTCAAAGCCTGTTCCTTAGATAAACCTAAATTGTATTTACCCTTTCGAAATGGTAGTCGAACCGTATAACGACCTGAGCTATCGCGAGTGGTGTGGTTGACGTAATGTTCCACGCAAGCAACGTCATCGGGAACCTTGATTGGTTGATAATCCAGATCCTCAACAGTCATAAATCTCTCAAGGAGCTGATCTAGTTTTACAGCATTGCAAGAAATTTTGTCAGGAATCTGATTGGGAATCGAACCTCCGGCAGCTACCCACCCAAATGATGTTTTTTGAAGTATGAGTTGTGACTGAGGGTCACCTAGTTTAATCTGACCTATTGCGAGAGATGACAAGGTAGTACCGGAAGCCAATAAAACATCTATCGACTTAGGAATATGAAATTGAGGATCAGCTAACTTGATGTTTTTAGGAATGTCAAATCTCTCCCGAGGAAAAGTTTCAGTAGGCACTTTATCTGCGATTTTGGATACAATCAAGAAATTTAACTGAAATTTTGCATTGTTGTAAGTTGAGTAAAAGGTGACTTTAGCAAATTTATCTGAAACGGTATTCGCGCTGTCAATTGCCCCGATGTTAACTAAACACTGATTAGTCGACACTTGTAAACGAGAAGCTAATTTAGAAGTCATTAAATTGGCGTGTGAGCAAGAATCTAAAAGAGCACATGCCTTGAATCTTTTTCCTTGGTTTGATTGGAACCGTAAAACGGCGGTTGTCATAAGTTGAGAATCTGTGTTATACGCATTGGAAGCGTAAGTCTGGCTAGGAAGTAGTCAAGACGAAATAGCGTCTGAACGATTCTCTCCCGTCTTATTCTGAGAACTGTCCGGTTTAGCACCCTGGGACTTCTTATCATTGTGAAGCAAAGTGTGATAATCTGTCTGGCACTTCTTGCATCTCTTAGTGCTAGAGCAAGAAGATGTATGCACATAAAGGCAATTACGACAGAGTTTTAGAGAATTAACGATGTCCCATTTGTCCTTCGATGTAAGCTTATTGAATTCAGGACAACGATACAGCCTATGGGATTGATTACATTTAACGCATAGACTAGTAGAATTATCCGATGTTGTAACAAAAGTTCCTGCATTTGTCTTCTGACTCTTAGAAGGGACCGAATGGGTTTTATCGCCGGTCCGTTTCTGACCTACTTGCCCGCTCTTAGACGGATCCTCCATCTGGCGTAATTTGTTAATAGTGTCTTGTAGGAAAGCAAAAAGAGGCTCTAATTTAGGTAGCGTATCACCAGATAAACGATCCATCCATCTCGACTTTACACTATTTGGTAAGCTACGCTCTAACGTGCGAACTAATACTACCTCTGGAATCTCGACATCGAATGTTTCGAGTATTTTGACGTTATGTCGTAATGTATACATGAGACTGGCTAACAACTTATATTTAGCTTCTGTGACCTTGGGCAAAGTAAAGATCTTATCAATGTGTTCGTATACGATAATACGCTTTTGATCGTACGCGTTGCATAGAGCTTCCCAAGCGAGAGGATAATTCGCGTCACTAATTTCAAACTCCTCTATGACCTGTGCAGCGAGTCCCTGTACGGCATTGCTAAGCTGAGAATGCTTTACGTAATTAGAGATTTCCGTGCGATTGTGGACTACCGATTGGAAATTACTCTTCCATGTGTTCCAGTTTTCGTGACTACCATCGAATTTACGTATGTCAACAATAGGAAGTTTAGGCAAATCTTGCCTTTCAATGTAAGTAACATTGGAAGCGTTTAACGAAGTCGAATTCGCAAGAGGAGAGGTGGCTGTTAATTCCTTCACTTGGGCTGAAACTGAATAATATTCAGCCTCAATGCGTTCAAATGCGCCGACATGCACGCTATCGGGTTTCAATACGAGTAATTCCTCGTGATTCGTGAGATAACTTTTCAACATGCTCAGAATATGTTTTAAACGGCAGTCTGCGTTGAGCGCGTCAGTAGGATTTTTTATCAAGAAATCCTGCACAGTTTTGATAGACCTCTCCAAAGCTTGACTCTTTTGTTCGAGGTACTGTACGCGTTTTTCTGCGTTTTCACTCATTTTGAAACGTTAATTATTTCTTTACTACACAAAAGTCTAAATCAAGTCCAGCCTTGTGGAAATCTTAGATCAAGCAATGCCGTGCTTAATTGCAAATGAACGGTTGAACAGGAAAGAAACTAGAATTTACTAAATCCCGCACTGTGCTCGTGTTAAATGAAAATGAAGAAAGCCCTCAATTTTTAGAGTCTAATTGAATGAAGTTATAATACAATAAAACCGGTTCTTTATGAACTAAACTAAATTCAAAAAATAAGCCGCGTTAGAACTTACGACGAATAAAAATTCCAATGAAATTGAACCGCGAATATTAAAGTCGATAAGCACCTATATATATAGCTGCGAAACAAACGCTTGAGTTTACAAAGCTATTTTATTTGTCACAATTTGACACAATTGACGTCAAGCGTCTATTTTGCAAATGAGTGAAATTCACTTATCTTGCTTTCGAGGAAGCGAAGTTGATGGTCGGCAGCGTAGGGTCGCCCTGGTCGGAAGCGACGGCAATGCGTGAAGTGGAAACGGCCGATGTCCGCTCGTTGCTGTGCAGCGCCACGTGATCCCGCGCCGCAGCGTCGCCTTTATCTCTTAGCACGAATTCGCAGAAGAAGGGGAAGAGCGCAACAAGAACTGTCACGTTGTGAAAGTTTCTTTGCGCCGTTTGGCGCGAATTCGAGATTTTTCGTGTTTTCACACTCGCGAACTGCACTCTCGCGACGTCACTTTTTCCGAATTTTACAATGAACAAAGGTAAAGATTCTACCTCACAGGAGGCACCATGTTCAATCGTGGCTTTTTTGTGGGAGGCACATAAAAGCCTAGTTTGAAATTTTCTGATTTTATGTTTAATCTTTAGGATAAGGACGAACGGATGGATTAATTGAACTTACACTGTATTAACGGGAAAAGCCTTTCGGCATAAAAACCCTTTTATTGACTAATAAACTACGCTGAAAGCACTTAAATTAGATGACCAGAACCAACTTAATCACTAAAACGAAATATGAATTCGAACAAAGAATCGCGTCGTGACGTCGCGAAAGACAATGGCGAAGCACGCACGATGAACACGTGAGTTACGAATTAACACACTGAGAAATTGTCATGCGAGAACACACACACAATTTCCGATACAATTAGATTTGATGTGAGCAAAATATG